CATGAATTTTTATTTTTATACATATAACATCTACTGCAAGATGTGCAACTTGTGGCCTCCCAGAGTCCTCTGAGTTGATGCCACCAAAATTCAGCAGCAGGCCACCAAATAAAAAAGCATAATTTTTCCTATTTATTTGGTTTGCAAAATATGTAAAATCAATGCACTGAGTTTAACACATTTTATTTTTTTAAGGCAAAAACAGAACCTCTCAAATAGGGAGTGGGGAGGACTGAACAATCTGCCCCACCCTTCCTGTGACATCTCTGTGTTTCCTGATGTTCCCCCTACAGTCCTTAGCCACTCAAAATAGAAATGTGTGAGTAGGCCCAAGGGGTGGCTAGCCTTGCTGTATTATGATGGAGCAGGGAATAATCAGTGTGTTCCTTATCTTATTATCAAGAATTGGGTAATGCTTGCTGAGAAAGCTGGGAGTTGCAGTCCCATAGTATCTAAACCAGTGTTTCTCAACCGTAGCAACTTTAAGATGAGTGGACTTCAACTCCCAGAATTCTCTAGCTGGGGAATTCTGGGAGTTGAAGTCCACTCATCTTAAAGTTACTAAGGTTGAGAAACACTGATCTAAACAATTGCAAGGTTGGGGAAGGGTGGTGTTGAATGTGAAATTGGAATGCAGATGATATATTGAATTAAGCATCAGAGCATGTGCTTTGGGTCCATGAGAGTAAAAGAGAAAATATTTGATTAGCTCAGATGAGTGGAGTGAACATGACACCCTCAGGCATTGGCAAGCATCTTCCTAAATTTGATTGCACTGTTATAGGGGAACCATCAGCAAAATCCAATTGAGTCATTGCACTGATAACTGGTTTGCTCTTGGGGAGCCTAACATCTGTTGTCAGTGGCAGCAGTATGTCCAGCTGAACTTTCTAAGAAAGTTAAGAATCTCTAAAGCTGGAGAAACTTAGATCTTCACACTTTGCTGGCCTTGTGGTATGTCTCATTTACTCTGAATCTGTACCACCCTTTATAAAATATGTCACTTCATAAAACACTTTCTTAGTATAGTATTTCTAGTTTAACACATTGTACTTTTGATCAGTTGGAACTATTTTGTTTTTCAGGAGACACAGTTATCCCTCTATATGTTCCTCAATGTGGTGAATGCAAGTTTTGTTTAAACCCTAAAACGAACCTCTGCCAGAAAATAAGGTTTGTGCTTTTTATTTTCTTTCCTGGTTTGTGCATTAACATTATCCAAAATGTGCTTTATTTGCTTTTTGGCAGGGCACTGTATGTGAATTCAACCCTGTATGTGTGCGCGCTTTGCTTATCACGTGGAGCAAGGAAGGGTTTGATATATTTTCTCAGTGCCAGATTTCTACAAATGCAGATCAGAAATAATATATATAAGGCAAGCCAAAACCTGTAGGATCCCTTTCCGCAACAGTTATGATAGCTATAGTTAAATTAAATCACAGTTGACTTAACGCTGATAAAGATTGCATAGGTACAGTGAGATTGGACTGACCTTAAGCCCTACTCCCAAGATAGTTCTATCGAGAGAAATCACGAGTTGGTCTTCAACTTCCAAATAAAGACATTGGTCAGGCAAGCAAGCAGGTTTAGCCATGGGCTAAGTTGACACAAAGGGCTGAGCTGTGGTTTACTTAAAGGCAAGCAGCCTTTGTCTCTGAGAGTCACATTGCTGGTGACATCGTGATTTCATTGGGGCATAGGTCTAATGATTTTGGAGTCATTTTTTTGCATTTTTGGAGGAGTTGTGAGGTTTTTCAGGAATTAAGATATCCAAGCAACAACTTTTTACCCTGTTTTATAGCTTGTCTTTACACACGTCTGCCCACCCATTAGTGTTTACAGATGTCATCTGGGGTTACTCTGGAGAAACAAAAATGTGGCTGAGGGGTACATGGCAACCATGGATCACCTGCCCTATAACTGGTGGAATTGGCTACCATTGCCTGGGTTCACACAGCATGCTAAATCTTAATCTGTGGTTTACAAATCAGTGCTTTGTTTCATATGGCCTGCAAAGCTAAAACTAATACAGTTTCATCTCAGTGTGATGTGCCTAACCCAGACTTAAGCTAAACATAAAACACAGTGCACCAAATCATGGCTTCAGGTCTGTATTACAGCCTGCCAATAACTTCACGTGATACCTGCATGATGTCATTCTTTACTTGCAGAGCCACTCAAGGAAAAGGAGTGATGCCTGACGGCACCAGCCGCTTCTCCTGCAAAGGAAAGCAAGTTCTCCACTTCATGGGAACGAGCACATTTTCAGAATACACGGTTGTTGCTGATATTTCCCTGGCCAAAATAGACCCTTCAGCTCCCTTAGACAAAGTCTGCCTGCTCGGGTGTGGAATTTCTACAGGTTATGGGGCAGCCTTGAACACTGCAAAGGTAGGACATCTGCTTCCCTCTTGATTTTTTTTTCTTCCGAGGTCATTTTAATCCCAGGCTGTAATATAATGCAATGATTAGAGCAGTGTTTCTCAATCTTAGCAACTTTAAAATGTGTGGACTTCAACTCCCAGAATTCCCCATGCTGGCTGAGGAGTTCTGAGAGTTGAAGTCTACACATCTTAAAGTTGCCAAGGTTGAGGAACACTTGGCTAGAGTAATGCTTTCGGAAAGAATCTTATTTCCCCTGTGAAGATGAGCTGTGTGCTTTGTGCACCCATTTTATCTTAAAAAACCCCTTATTTATTTATTTATTTTTACTGGAAAAGAAACCATGGAGACTTCATTTGGAAGCAAAAGTATACTTGTATGTGCTTAATTCTTTCTGTTTCTGCTGGTTATCAACTCAAGAGCTTTCCACTAGGCACTGTCAGTTAATTTCTTATTTTCATGGAAGAAAAGAAACCTGGAAAAGGTTATATGGGCTGCTGTGCTAAGCCATGGTCTATTGAATAAACCACAGTTGGCTGGTTCACATGGAATGCTAAGCCATTGTGATGCTAAGCCAAAACACAATCACTTTAGAGTTCAGTATATTGTGCAAAGTACTGTTATTGTACTTCACCAAGCCATTATTTTTAAAAATTATATACAGGCATAGTTGCTGAATTCAGCGGGTGAAGAAAGACCTGTAAACCACCTGCTCTAAAGCCGGAGACTGGCAGGTGGCAGGTAGTAATCCTCTGTATATAGCACACAGATCAAACTGAAGTTGTCATCGCTGTTTTCTCAAGCCTGCACTCCATTTGCTTTGTTTCTGTTTTAAAAGTAAGAATGGCAGCTTTTAGACAGGAACACGTGTATGTGTGTTCATACACTACCTGCACAAAACCTGACAGCAGTCTTGTTTCTGATGCTCCTTGTAGCATACGTAATACAGTCTTGATTAGGTGAACATAGAAGCGGAGATGCCATTATGGGCTAAACACCTATGAAATAAAATGTTTTGGCCCTCTGGTGCTCCCTTAATGCCTTTGTAGAGCAAAAGCTAGCAATAGGTATGTAAAGCAGGTAATGCTTCCCATTGCTTAGCTTTAGTCACATAAATGAGATTTCTCCATGCTGTGGGTGCTGGTTTGCCAGTCCTTCTCCTCTGTGGCCAATTTCCCACTTTCTTCTTGTTGCACTTTCTGCCATGCTTGCTTGATACAAAAACACAGGTGTGCAGGGCCCGGCTGATGAACAGCCACAGGGACAATGTCATTCGTGCCCCCTGCCTGCCTCATTTTCCAGGCAGGCTAATGATGCTTGAAAATAAACTAGCTATTAATCCAGGTTAAGATGACATACAGAGCCACTGCAAGATGACTAAACTAAGAACAGACCATGGCTAAGGATTGAGCATAATGCTGCCTGCATATCTAGTCTTCATCCCAGCCCAGAGTTAGATGAAACCTAACCACCATATAGCTTAATGTGATGGATAAACTGGCCCAAAGTATTGTGCTTTAAAGTTACATTTGTCAATTTTAAGAAAAGACTATAGCTGTAGCTTGGCTTAGTCTTTTGCAAAAGCCTTTTCCTGTGTAAGGGTTGTTTTCTGTAGCTTTCTTTCCTATGTTATTAGTTGAATTGTCACATTTTCTTTCAGGTTGAACCTGGTTCTACCTGTGCTGTCTTTGGCTTGGGCGGAGTTGGGCTAGCAGCTATCATGGGCTGTAAGGTGGCTGGTGCATCCAGGATCATTGGGGTTGACCTCAACAAAGGCAAATTTGCCAAAGCCATGGAATTTGGGGCTACAGAATGCATCAGTCCTGAGGATTTCAAGAAGCCTATTCAGGAAGCCCTGGTTGAGTTGACAGATGGAGGAGTAGATTACTCATTTGAGTGCATCGGGAATGTTGGTGTCATGGTAAGCACAATCCGAGACCTCTTTTGCGGACCCACGTCTGATTTTATTTTTCTTAAAGATTCTTTTAAATAAAAAAGTGAAACGGGAAGATGGAGATGCTAAAAAGCTAAGCATGGTTCTCTAGTTTCATCTTTATTTACAAGAATACTTCTTAGAACATTCCAGTGGTGCAATATCTGTACTCAGTGCTTCGCTTGTAACTTTGTCTACCTTCCCAGAAAATAGGCATTGGTAAGCTTTGTAACGATAACCCTTTGGGATTATTAGCTGAGAATCTGCTAAATATTTGCTTTGTAATTGGCCGCACCCTTACATTAGCTGTTTTACAAGAGCATGGAAAACGTCTTCTCAGAATTCTAACTGTGCCCTTTCATTGAGCTTTGACCTTTCCTGTTTGTTGTTTCATCTCAATGTGTTGCCTCTTTTTTCCCTTCTACATTCAACAGAGAGCAGCCTTGGAAGCATGCCATAAAGGTTGGGGAGTAAGTGTGATAGTCGGGGTTGCTGGCGCTGGTCAAGAAATTGCTACCCGCCCATTCCAGCTGGTTACTGGTCGAACATGGAAAGGGACTGCCTTTGGAGGTACAGCTTTGCTGGGATACAACCACTGATGTTGCTGGGCTGGGATCTTCTCCCTTGACAGTCTAGCAAGTACTGATAGAAGCTGGAACTCCAGCATCTGAAGAGCTCCCCCTGCAGGGACTTGTGGCATTTCAGTCCCACCCTCTCTTTATTAAAATAGGATATCTTCTCACCAACGTATTCTTGGTGCCCAACTTTGCGTGATGTTAAAGACTGCATATAGGTCTTTTAGAATGTTTTGGGAGCTGTATGCGGATAGAGGGGAAAATGAGTGTGGTCAAAGTATAGAGCACATATACCCAGAATAAAAATATTTTTTCTTATGTTCTGCCCAGCACCAGTATCTCCTCCATGCTTTCTTTCCCTCTTCTCCAGTTTTCAAACCATTAAGTTGAAACTTACTGAAAATTGGCAGCACTTAAAGAAGTGATGGTGAGGTTGCTATTGGTTATGCTCCCATGTTCTAATGGAAACATTTCTGTAACTTTTAAAATGTATTAATTCTTCTTAGATTATCTTCCGTGGTAAGATACGTCATTTTTAAAATAATACGCAAATTATTATTTTATGTGGGGTGCAACTTTTGCCCATGAAGAAAGTTAAATGTCCTTTGCTGCATTTATAATGAAGCTATTAAAGACTTGATTACCATTTTAGTTCTATTTTAGGCTGGCAGTGGTTGAAGACTTCCGTTTTGGATTTTTGAATCCATTTTTGTTATTTTTGAATGGTTTCTGATATTGCTGTAAAGATGCTTAATAGGAGTATTCTGCTTTGTGCTGATGCTGCATTAAGTAATAATTTTATTGCCTGTCAGGTTGGAAAAGCGTAGACAGCATACCGAAGCTGGTAGCTGAATACATGTCCAAAAAAATAAAAGTGGATGAATTTGTGACCCATACTCTACCTTTTGAGAAAATTAATGAAGCTTTTGAACTTATGCATGCTGGAAAGAGGTAAGTGTTTTGCTGTGTGTTAAGTTTATTAGTGCAATCCTCTATATGCCTTTTGAGAGATAAACCCCACTGAGGACTGGGTCTTACTTTCAGTTAGGTAGGCTCAAGATTGCCATTTAGCATCGTTACCTGTACAGCTGGCATCCTGGTTTTTTTGGGTAGCAGCTCAGCTTTTTATACTTTTTTTTCAACCATCTCATATTGCTCATATCTGTGTCCCTTCCTTTGAATGGGGAGCGATGCCAGTTGGGTGCTGGAGTACTTTTCCAAGGTCTTAAGCTGACCCGTCTAAAACTTCCTGGTGTTTTTTTCTGATGTGGGAGCACAGCTGCTTCAGCAAGTGCTTCAAGGTCCATCTTTGCCTACAGAGAGGGCAGCTTGTTCTATTCAGTTATTCCTGTGGGCCATAAGACTGCAGCCTGAAGCCTCTGAGACAGGGACAGGTGGGCACAACCCTCATCTTAAATTTAAAAGCTCTGTCTTTTCCTGGCAATCTGTTACACTGGGAAGAGGATAGAAGGAAGGAAATGTCAAAAGGAGAAAGAGGGGGAGAAAATCAGAAAGAGACTAATTAACCTAACTGTCCAGTTGCACTTGATAGGAAGAGAGTTGCTGAATGCATGGGGGCTACAAGGTACTGTTATTTATCTGAAAAAAATATGGCTCTAAATTTAAGATGGTGTCCCAAAAGAAAACATACACTGATAAAAAAATGGTGCACAAAAACCCTCCAACTGCCACCATGTCAACCTAGGGTTGCCTGCTCCAGGTGGAACTACTCCTGGAGATTTGTCCCTCCCCAAGAAATATGTGAATTTGTCATATTTGCATGTGCATTAATATACCTGCCAGAAGCCACAGTCTTTAAAAAAGGGCAGACCCAGGACCTTCAAAAATTTGATTACTTGTATTCATAAGCCCTGATTAAAATTAATTCCCTGTAAAACAAAGTACCCCATTTAAAAAGTAACTGAGTGCTGTCTACATGCATCAGCCAGTCTATCTTACAAACACAAAAGCTGCTTACATGGAAATATACAAATACACATAACAAACACTCTCTTCCTTCTTTCCTTCCGGCAGAAATGGTGAAATAAAAGCTGGAAATGGGATAAGAGAAGAATAGGTGCATAAAGAAGGGAAGGGAA